AGAAAACATCTTAAAGTGAGAGGGGTAAAGGGTTCACACACACACACGCGCCCATCTCTCTCGGCACGTGTTAAACGCGCAGCGGGGTTTTGATGTTTTGGCCAGCGCCTCTCTTCATCGCGGGCTTCTTTGGCGATCTAACTACACAGCCGTGGGGGGTGGGGACTCAAAGGAATGTTTTAATGGAGCTGACAATGGACGAGCTTCGAGACGTTCGATTCCCGATCTCTGAATCGAGGCCATCGAGGCCACCGCCGTTGCATTGAAGGAATCGATCAAATGACGGCAATGATTATCCATCGCCGCGGAATAACAGCGCAGGCCGGGAGAAAAAAAACGCAGCTTTCAAACAACCGTGCAGAAATGTGTAGACACCGCCACACAGAAAGGTCTACACACAGAAATATGTACACACGGTCACGCAGAAATGTGTACACACAGCAACACAGACATGTGTACACACAGTCACACAGAAATGTGTAAACACAGCAACACAGAAATGTGTACACACGGCCACACAGAAATGTGTACACACAGAAATGTGTACACACAGCAACACAGACATGTGTACACACAGCCACACAGACACGTGTACACACAGCCACACAGACACGTGTACACACAAAATGTGTACACACTAAATGTGTACACACAGCCACACATACATGTGTACACACAGCAACACATACATGTGTACACACAGCCACACAGACACGTGTACACACAGACACACAGACACGTGTGCATTGCGTAACAAACCAAGTTGTGCACTGTGGTGCAGCATGCCTTGACGAACAATGGGATGAAGGTGAACCATTGTCAGGATTGGAGACCCTAAATGTAGCAGGAGCAGCTGCCAGACCTGGGGTGGGGTGAGGGGAGGGAGAGGGGAGGGGCTGATGCTACCAGCTAGGAGTTGATACAGAAACTCAAATTTCTGCAGCTACCGTTCACAAGATTAATATCTCCGTTTAGTTTAAACACATGTTTTCACTCTGCCCCCCCCCCAACCCGATTTCACTCCAATTGGGCTACTGGCGTCATGATGAGACAAAGCGTCCGTCCATGTGGTCGGTGGTGACTCCAACCGGAGCTCTTTCCTTCACAGATGAATTCCACCTATCCTGGTTCATCTGTTCACCAACTCGTCCTTATATATATTTATAAAACCTCGAACACTCATCAAACCTTGATATTCTCACGTAAAATGCTCCAGAAAAGTTTGTAAAAGTGGGTGTCATGGGAAATCACTTTCATTTATTCTGCTAAGTACGGCCCACTGAACTGCGTAGCTCTGTTTTCAGAAGCGACCTGGCCACAAATAAAAGCTCAGCGAAGTGGCTTATCAACACGTGGAAATGTACAGCAGCCAAAGACTCTAAGCGCGTGATGTTGATTCTAAACGTGGAGGGAAAAACCGGAGGACCCGGAGAAAATTCCACGCGACCACGGGGAGGGAGAGACACGCAAACTCAAAGTATATCGATTTTTGGGTCGGGATCGAACCTACGACCTCCTGTATACCAGGCGAGGTAGTTAACATCTCGCCACATTGGCGCCATCTTAGTAACCAGTCAGTCGACAAAACGAAACTGCTTACAGTTCCATGTAAGATTATATTTAAATATAATCTTTGAATTCCTTTGACCACCATCCCTTCATCTACAACATCGACAATTGTGACCTCCCTTACATCCGCAAGCTAGTCTGCCTCTGGACTCACTCCTCATTGGGCAGGCCGACCACTTTAAATATCTTCTTGGTTCTTTCGGTAAAGTCACGTAGAAGGGAAGTAATAAAATAATACAAATAAAACATAATAAATAGGCATGACCCTGGACTCGAAACTGCCTTTCAAGGATCCACATTGACCAACATGGCCAACAAAATTTTTAAAAACAAAATTGTATACCTACACAGACTCCGTATGAATATAGTTGAAACCACCATCCTGCCATTCGTGTGATCACTGTGATACCCCGCCTGCCGCCAAGCTCCTGAATCCACCTCATCACTCCACTCTACCACTCCGCTCTCCGTTTTGCCCTTGGCTCCCTCCTATACAACTCACCGTTGCGTCCTCTACATTCACTCAAATGTGTCTCTCTTCCACCTTACGGAGAAACCAACCATTGGGGCTGTCTTCATCCTCGAAGTCCTCTTTAACAAATCCGCCAAACATCTGAAACGCCACTTCGTTTCTCCAGCTAACCCTACCCCCAGTGCCGCATTATCCCAGTAGCACAAGGAGCTGCAAATGCTACTGGCCCCGCACTTTCAAGGGCCCCGCGCTAAATGCTTTCAAGCTATCAATTCCGGTTCAGTGATTCTGCACTTGCTCTATTAATATAGTACTATACCGCCTTCAACTTTTACGAACGACTGGGTGTTTAAAGTTAGCGATTTGTCGTGCAATCTGGCTGTATAGCAAATGAAAAATACAATTACTTTACTATGCAAGTAAAACATTTGTTTTTTAATATGTATGTTTGTTTCCTTTTATTTAGGACCCCTTTATAACAAATGCTACAGGCCCCGCAACTAGCTTAATGCGGCACTGCCCATCTCCCTCAATAGCATCAGAAGTGCTGCTGCTGGCTTATTCACACTAAAAAATAAAATCCGTGTCGCTAAAACTTTGGGTTGGCAAAAAAAAAGAATCCTTCCACGATTGCTGCTCCACGTTTGTGAACCCCATTGACTGCTCATCCTTTAGTTAAAATAATAATAGTTTAATCGTTTAAATAAAACTAGTTTAATAGTTTAAATATTAAATCCTACAGCTTGCTTCCCTCCCTTCGCTCCCCCACTAAACCAAACAACGTAGGAGCTTTACCCGCACCCAACTTGGTTTTTCATCTGGCGCCTCTTGCTCTCGTATCATATTCGCAACTCTGCTTGAATCGCCGTGTGCTTCGCTGACAGCCGCTAATCGCACCTCCGATTAGCACGGCAGGGCGACGACGAAATGTGCGAGAGAAGTTCAACGGACGTGGATACAAATACCCCGTTTTGTAACTTGTGCAATATTCTCGAAGGAGCCCGTTGTTGTGCTCCTACCCTGCAATGTCGACGTTTGTTGTCTTTGTTCATTTGTTGCGGCTGCTGCTGCTGCTGCTGCTGTGGTCACGCACCACGGATCTCCTGTGCAAAATAGCCGGGGAACCCGGCAACACGGGGCCATTATCATCACCATCATTATTGTAATTAATCTAATTTGTTACACATCGAATTTGTTACCGCGGTGGCGAGATGTTAATTTCCTCGCCTGGTATACAGGAGGTCGTGGGTTCGACCCCGACGCCTGCTGCTGCTGCTGTATATTTGGAGTTTGCGTGTCTCTCTCTCTCATCATCATCACGGTGGCTAGGAGATGTTGACTACCTCGCCTGGGATACAGGAGGTCGTGGGTTCGATCTCGACCCCGACGCCTGCTGCTGTATATTTGGAGTCTGCGTGTCTCTCTCATCATCATCACGGTGGCTAGGAGATGTTAACTACCTCGCCTGGTATACAGGAGGTCGTGGGTTCGACCCCGACCCTGACGCCTGCTGCTGCTGTATATTTGGAGTCTGCGTGTCTCTCTCTCATCATCATCATCACGGTGGCTAGGAGATGTTAACTACCTCGCCTGGTCTACAGGAGGTCGTGGGTTCGACCCCGACCCTGACGCCTGCTGCTGCTGTATATTTGGAGTTTGCGTGTCTTTCCCCTCCACGTTGATAATGATCAACGCTCACGCGTTCAGAGTTCTTCGGCTGCTGCTGTGAATGTCCGCGCGACGACGAGCCCACCTCGTTGAGCTCATCATTTGTGAAGGCCAGGTCGCTTCTGAGCCACAGATCGATATAGCTGAGTGAGCATTACCTGGTAAAAAAAATCAACAAGAGTTTTTAGTTTTAAATGCGCTCGTTATTCTTCTGTCCGCCGTCAGTGGCGTGAGCAAAGCGCGCGTCTCTACGTCTCTACGACCTCCTCGACTCTTTCCCCGTCCGCCTCGCCGTCGGCTTGTGGTCGTCATCGTCGCCTCCCTCCTCCTCCTCATCCTCCTCCTCCTCATCCTCCTCCTCATCCTCCTCCACCTCCTCCACCTCCTCATCATCCTCCTCCTCATCATCCTCCTCATCCTCCTCCTCATCCTCCTCCACCTCCTCCTCCTCATCATCATCCTCCTCATCCACCTCATCCACCTCATCCACCTCCTCCACCTCCTCATCATCCTCATCATCATCCTCCACCTCCTCATCATCCTCCTCCTCATCATCCTCCTCATCCTCCTCCACCTCCTCATCATCCTCCTCCTCATCCTCCTCCTCCTCCACCTCCTCATCATCATCCTCCTCATCCACCTCCTCCACCTCCTCATCATCCTCCTCCTCATCATCCTCCTCCTCATCCTCCTCCACCTCCTCATCATCCTCCTCCTCATCCTCCTCCTCATCCTCCTCCACCTCCTCCTCCTCCTCATCATCATCCTCCTCATCCACCTCCTCCACCTCATCATCCTCCTCATCATCCTCCTCTTCATCCTCCTCCACCTCCTCCTCATCCTCCTCCTCCTCCACCTCCTCATCATCATCCTCCTCATCCACCTCCTCCACCTCCTCATCATCCTCCTCCTCATCATCCTCCTCCTCATCCTCCTCCACCTCCTCATCATCCTCCTCCTCATCCTCCTCCTCATCCTCCTCCACCTTCTCCTCCTCCTCATCATCATCCTCCTCATCCACCTCCTCCACCTCCTCATCATCCTCCTCATCATCATCCTCCACCTCCTCATCATCCTCCTCCTCATCATCCTCCTCCTCATCCTCCTCCACCTCCTCATCATCCTCCTCCTCATCCTCCTCCTCATCCTCCTCCTCCTCCTCATCATCCTCCTCCTCATCATCCTCCTCCTCATCATCCTCCTCCTCATCCTCCTCATCCTCTTCCTCATCCTCCTCTTCCTTCTCTTCCTAAACCTCCTCATCCTCCTCACCCCCCCCCCTGCTCCCCAGGCGTCTACCAGCGACGCAAGAAGGCTGCGCTGGGCTTCACGGTCGCGCTTCTCGCCCTCGCCGCCGCCATCCTCGTCACGGGCCTCGTGGGCACCACGCGCACGGACAACGTCGCCGTCGTCGGCTTCTACGCGGGCATCGTCGTGAGTCCAACGCGACCTCGTTTCTCTGTTGCTGGACAGCCGGTGTGTGCTGTGCTCGTAACAAATTAAAAAAGTCTGCCTTTTCAGCAGGCCATGCTTTCCCACCTGATGACGGACGCTTGTGTTGCGCCCGAAACGGGCCCAACACAAAAAAATGAAAATAAATCACGGTTATTTTCATTTTTCTACCTACGTGACTTTACCGAAAGAAGCAAAGAGTATGGATTTCTGCAGTCACGAAAGCTTCAAATCAAGATTGGCTACGGTCTGTTTGCGTGACAAAGCTTACTAATTGGCCGTGTCGGGTGGTGGTGGTGGCGGGTTTAACGACACATTTATACATTTTTACGAGATCTAACCCCAACAACAACAACAAACCCTCTGATAATTGTTTTTTTACCCTTTTATCTGGCAACAAAACTGAAACCTTTTTTACAAGGAGTCATGTTTGCATTGACCACGTTACCTGCGGTCGGAATGCGAACAAAAAACACAACTCTGATAATGAATGCACTTTTCTTAGAGCCTAGTCTCACATGGTGTTGGACCAGATGACGCCAAAAGGCGCACAACTCTCTCTTATTACGGGATTCTCATTTCTTCCGAGTCTCTGACTTCCGTCAGCGGCGACACGTCGCTGCGCCGATGAACCCAGCTGGACTTGCCCGACGTTGGGCCAACGTTGAGACGGTCACCGCTGCATCGCAGCACTTTCATGCGCGCTTCTGCGGCCGTCTGGAACGCTCTTTCCCTCTGGTAGTAGGAGGCCAATGGGAGCTTTGCACTTTTAAATCATCGCTGAGATGGACAAACTCGTTTTTTAGAACTTCTTTTCGTGTTTAGTGTCGTTGTCCATCCGCCGACACCTCCGATTAGCGCGGTTGGCTACGTATGGTGCGAAAGAAGTTCAACGCAGGTGTCACACCGTAGGTGTCACACCCGTAGGTGTCACACCCGCAGGTGTCACACCGCAGGTGTCAAACCAGTGGTGTCATACCGGGCACTTGTGCAGTTACAGTTCATCCGTTGCCCATGCGCGACAAAGTCCACAAGTAACAACAACAAAAAAGTAAAAAAATAACAGCGTGGCAATTTCTCTCTCGGGTACGAGTTTGCCAGGGAATCCAGACGCAATTGGTCCGTGATGAAGTCGCTGATTGTCGTCAGATGGTCCCGTGGCCCCTTTTCGCTCGGGGAAAACGACTTTGGTCTTTAATAACTTAATTCGGGGGGGGGGGGTGGGTTTGTTTTCTCCCCACCAGCGTAACTCATTGCTTAGTGTGGTTTTTAGCAGCTATTCGCATCGTTTGGCTTACGATCAGATGTGTTCCCCGCGCGGAGGACATCTGCTTTGGATCAACACACAGTCCGCCGGGCGCAAATGCTGACTGCTGATGATCATATGAAGAAAATTAGCCGTTCTGAATCCTCAAAAATCTGGGAGGGTTATTTTTTAATGGGGCAAGAAAGTTTGGGGGGGGGGGAGAGAGTTTAGAGAGTGAGTTGCTCTGTGTGGTTCCTCCATATCGCCTTCGATCCACGCTGTGCAAGAGATCTTCTTAAAACGATAAACAGCAGCAGCATCTTCCTCATAATAGGATTACACTGGTCAACAAAAAAAAAATTCTGGCCTGGACTTTTGCAGCTGTTTTAGACTAATTTCAGGGTGCTGATTCTAAATCTAATCTCAGATTTGCTCTATCACATCTCATTTTTATGCTATCGACATACCCCATTTTCATTGATTTTACCCGAAATTAACTCTGTCACTTATGATTGCAAGTTGTTGCGAGTCAGTGACTGCTTTAGTGTTAAAATATGGTGCTCTATTTTTAGGATAGTGTGTTTATAATATCATTGTATGTAGATATCCACATTTATTTAATATTTTTCTTCTGCAGTTTTTATTCAAAATGCAATATTTGATATCTCAAAAACCTGATGTGATGGACAAAAACCGATGCCAGATTTGTAATCAGCACCCCAAAATTACCTTCAACCCGTTGGAATACCTTATGCCAGAAAAAGTGTGTGGACCAGAGTTACCCCCGGGCCGTGCCGACAATCTTCGATTTCGTGGTCTGTGATCCGTGCGTCCCAGGCAAGGGCAGCGCACGCACGGATCGTGGTCGTGGTCGCTACGCCGACTGAAGACGCTCCTCTTCGGGCGCACTTGATTGGCAACTTCGTTTCTTGAGAACCGCTTTGGGTGTTCGGGGTTTGTTTGGCCTGACACCCGCGCCGCCGCCGCCGCCGCTCCGCTTAGCGCGTGTCGGCTACGGACGGCGCGAAAGGAGTTCGATATCCACGCTGGCGAGCAGTATGGGACCTTTCTTGGCAAGTATTGAAATATAACAATAGTGTTGATTTGAAGCTTTCGTGACTGCGGGGATCCATACTCTTTGGTTATTTCGGTAGTCACGTAGGTATACATTTTTTTAAAATTAAAGTCAAGTAGGTATAAAATAAAATTTGTATTTTACAAATAAAATAAAATTTGTATTTTACACCTACGTGACTTTACCGAAAGAACCAAACAGTATATAACAATAGGTTTTTAGCCTTGCTGGCAATAAAACAAGTTTGTGTCAAGATGTTAAAACACAAAACAGAATCCTTATTCAAGGAATGAATCAGGGGACCAATCAGCTTCAAAGACAATGCATCAAAGATAATGATCAGAGCACGTTATTTGTTTCCACGTTCACCACAAGTATGTGTAGTTAATGCAGACAGCATTCCTTGAATAAACACATTCCTGCGGAGGGAGCTAGTATGAACGTTGGGTTGCTCGGTCAATGGCCAGGGTCAACGGCGGCGTGGTGTATTCCGAAAATATGGCCGACTGTGAAGGTGGGCACAAGCCGGCGTGAGTAGGTTAAACGTTGAGTTTTATAAGGGCACCACGGGGTGACCAGCCCCTCCCCACCCAGCCCCACCCCTCCCACCCCCCACCCAGCCCCACCCACCCCACCCAGCCCCTCCCCACCCTCCCCACCCAGCCCCTCCCAACCTTCCCCTCTCCACCCAGCCCCACCCCTCCCATTTTTTGGATGCACGACGGACGGACGGACACAATAATCCCCTGTGGGCTGGTGTAACCAGGAGGTTCGTACCAGTATGATTCTGTTTTGGTGTTTTAACATCTTCACACAAACTTGGTTTATTGCCAGAAAAGGGGGCAAACCCCTATTGCTACGCTGGCCAGCGTTTTATCGTTTCATTCACCGACGGTTCAAGGAGCCGCGATACTTTTTTGAGACGAGCAGATTGCTGGGCCCTCTGCTCAGGTGCACGCTGCTGCCCCTCCCGTTGACTTGCAGCTGGGCTTCGGAGCGTTCCTGGGCCTCCTCGGAGTGAGTCTCGTGGAGAACCGCAGACAAATGGTGAGTTCAGCAACAACGTCCCCGAATGTCCCCCCCCTCCGCTCATGCGACCTTGAAAAGGGGTGAAGGCAAAGCCCCCGCAGTTGATCGCCTAAGACAACTGCTGGCGGATAGGGTCCTCCGCTAGAGGGAGCTCTCTGGGGGGAGCCCCCGCTGCGTGGGTATTTGGCCTACTCTTCCACGCTGCATAGACGTCTTGGAAGAAGTGGAAGTACCCACGCTTCATCCCACAACACACGGCCTTCTAATCGATTGTGGTATTTATTTGGTTGAGAAAATAATTTATCTTAGTTCGGTTTCTCCTTCTTTACGCAAGAGAGCCTCACTGAGTATCAAGACTCTTCTTCAGGAGGGTCCTGCCAAGTATTCTTTGCTGTATTTTCCCCAGTAGGGGACAATGTTACCAGTGTGTAATGTGCAGGCGATGTTCCAGCATTGGGATGCATGGCCACAACACCAGTCACAGCGTGCTTTGTTTGAGCTGTGGAAGGATACAGGATCAACCGGAGGAAACCCGTGCCGAACACAAGGGGGGGGGGGGTAGAACACGCACACTGCACACAGAACGGTGACCGAGTCAGGAATCGAACCCGGGCAGTCGGTGCTGTGAGACGAGTGGGTGGCGAGCTCATCATTGCAAAGCGATGCAAAATATAGGAGAACAATGATACAAATGAGCTGGGGGGGAGGAAAAAACTTCTACAAATATTTTTTTTAAATAACTCGATTCTTGAGTTGAAACGTGGAGCCGAATGAATGCTCCGTGAGATCGCGCAGATTCACGATGATTTGGATGAATAACTGCGCTCTGAAATCTGCTCCGTGTTTTACTGGCAAGCAGCCGGGAAAATCGTGGAATCTTCGCCCAGCATCTCAGCGGTGTTTGGCTCGGCGAGACCGGCGCCATCCCTGTGTTGGTGGCCTAAGCGGTCTCGTTTCATCTGCGCGCTACGAAAGTCGTGCTTTGTTGAAATAAAATGTTTCGGGGGCGGGGAGAGAAGAAAACAAATGAAGAACAAATTGCCGTTTCATAACTGAAAAAAATCAACGAAAGTGGAAATTGACCGCGGCAAAGTAAATATTCACCGATTCCACTTTTGAGCCCCGTAATCCAACTGAGAAAAAAAACATTCCAGTACTTTCTACAATAATACAATTTACATTCGCTGGCTGAGTTTGCAAACGGTGTGTGTGTGTGATTTTAAAAGGAAATTGATAAAATAGGGAGCTCATCTTGCAAAAGTTCACGCGGCGGTGAGCATCCTGGGGTTCCCAAGGGGCTCGTGACGCCCCTGTGCCATCCAAGCGTACCCACAAGCAGAGGTCGCAACCGGGTACCCGATACCCGTACCCTACCCGATACCCGGCTACCCGTACCCGGCCGGGTACGGGTACCCGTTTGCGACCCTGGTGCGGCCGGGTACGGGTACGGGTAAGGAATCAAAACCCGTTTGCGAGCTCTGCCCACAACGCCGAGCTCCTGGGTTTGAGTCTAGGTACTGTGGGAGGGGGGGGGGGCTGGGCAGCAACAGCGAGCCCCCCCCCCCCCCCAAAAACCTTCCCCCCTCGAAATCTAGAAGTCAAACTCCGCCAATGGCATCGCGAAGACCTCCCAATTCCGTGCCCGTGAACGGGGCTCTTTCCAACCCTCCGATGAGCACGGATGGCTACGTACGGTGCACACAAAGTTCAACACACTGGCGGCACGCATCGATGGTGAGTGATGGCGTTGCAACGTCAATTACAGCCCGTTGTGTCAACCTGCTGCTGGGTGAAGGCATCTCTCGTGCTGTGACGGCCGTGGGAGTTGTTTGACCATACTTCGTGAGGCTTAAATAAAAAAAACACAAAACACAAAAACGCCCCGTGAATAGCCATCGAAATTGATATTGATTCTGCGCGTCCGTGAAATGCCCCCCCCCCCCGCCTTCTAGAGGCTCAGAGCATGGCTCCGAGTCTCTGTTTAGTCACAACAAATTATCCCGTGCGAAAATATTTGTGGGAGCGATGCCACCCACAGGCTACGACACACCCTGACTCGAATGATGTATTATTCTTTTGTGTTAGTATCTGCCCACAAAAATACCATACGATCCATACCCCTGTTTGTCTTACTGATCGCATCGGTGGACAATAACACGCGCAGACGCTCGCACGCCCGCAATGTACAACTTGAAGCACCGCCGATATTCTGTTCAAACGCCGGACGAGAGGAGACGGTCGCACCGACATCGTGGCCATTGTGACCCCCGCCCCCCTCTGAGCCACCTCCCTCTGCTCATGCATCGGTCAGAATCTGAATATTTATTCGCACCGGAGGAATCCGATGAGCCATGAAGCTCTTTCACACCAGACGTCCAGGGGACGTTGCGGCATCTGGCGCAGTTGTCGTTCCGGCGTCGTCGCTGCTCCGATTGTTGTTGTTGTTTATTGTTGTTGTTGTTGTTTATTGTTGTTTATTGTTGTTGTTGTTTATTTTTATTCTTGGTTCTTTCGGTAAAGTCACGTAGAATGGAAATAATAAAATAATAAAAATAAAACATAATAAAATAAATTCTCACGACGTTTCGGCCACAACGCAAGCAGCCGTCCTCAGGTGAAGAACAGGTCTGTCGAGAAGACAGAATCTGAATGACACACTCCAGGCTTGGAGGGGCTTATAGCGCCCCTCCATCCCAGCTTAAATAGTCGCTCCAAGCCTGGGGCTTGTCATTCAGACTCTGTCTTCTCGACAGACCTGTTCTCCACCTGAGGACGGCTGCTTGCGTTGTGGCCGAAACGTCGTGAGAAGTTATTTGATTATGTTTTATTATTATTTTATTATTTCCATTCTACGTGACTTTACCGAAAGAACCAAGAAGATGAATCCCTGCAGTCACGAAAGCTTTAAATCAAAATATAATAATATTGTATTATTATATCATAATATTTTATTATTTTATTACTTTATTATATTATTTTATTATATTATTGTATTATGTTTTATTTGTATTACTTTATTATCTCCCTTCTACGTGACTTTACCGAAAGAACCAAGAAGATGAATCTCTGCAGTAATAAAATATTATTGTATTATGTTATATATTTTTTATTTTATTATTTCCATTCTACGCGACTTTACCGAAAGAACCAAGAAGATGAATCCCTGCAGTCACGAAAGCTTTAAATCGAAATTTATTTATTATTGTTGTTGTTGTCTGCTTGCTTGTTTGTTTCGCAGCTGGTCGCGTCCATCGTGTTCGTCAGCTTCGGAGTGGTCGCCGCCTTCTGCTGTGCCACCCTGGACGGGCTCTTTGCCGCGCGACAAATCGTGCGTAGCCTCCTCACCCCCTCGCTCAGCCTGGCGGATGTCCTCCGGGAATTCCACTTTCAGGCTCGCTCGCTCGCTCGCCACCAAAACTTACTCGGCCGTGTGTACGTTGAACTTCTTTCGCACCGTACGTAGTCAACTGCGCTAATCGGAGGTGCGGGGGAAGGACAACAAACTATGGTCTTTGTGTGAGTCTATGGGTCTCTGTGTGAGTCTATGGGTGTCTTTGTGAGTCTGTGGGTCTTTTCGTGAGTCTATGAGTCTCTGTGTGAGTCTATGGGTCTCTATGTGAGTCTATGGGTGTCTTTGTGAGTCTGTGGGTCTTTTCGTGAGTCTATGAGTCTCTGTGTGAGTCTATGGGTCTCTGTGTGAGTCTATGGGTCTCTGTTTGAGTCTATGGGTCTATGTGTGAGTCTATGGGTCTCTGTGGGAGTCTATGGGTATCTGTGTGAGTCTATGGGTCTCTGTGTGAGTCTGTGAGTCTATGGGTCTCTGTGTGAGTATGTGAGTCTATGGGTCTCTGTGTGTGTCTGTGGGTCTCTCTGTGAGTCTGTGGATCTCTTTGTGAGTCTGTGGGTCTCTTTGTGAGTCTATGGGTCTTTTGTGACTCTGTGGGTCTCTATGTGAGTCTATGGGTCTCTGTGTGAGTCTATGAGTCTCTGTGTGAGTCTCTGCGAGTCTATGTATGTACGTTGAACTTCTTTCGCATCATACGTAGCTGACCTCCCTAATCAGAGACGCTTCCAAGCAAGGGCCTCCTGATAAACACGGCGTTGCCTCGTTACTCACGAACTTGCGATCCGCGATCTTGGCTCTCCGCGATTCGCATCTTGAAATCTACACAACTACCGCCTCGAGAGAGAAAGTGATGAGATCAAGCAATGAGAGATAACGTCTCTGAGAGAGAATGTAATGCATCAGCCACGGGATTTGTTTGACCATACTTCACCGATACCGGTTCGGTGGTCTGTGAGCTTTGGTGACGGTGGGTAACACACGCCACCGATGTGAGCCATTGCCGGGAGTTGAACTCAGGTCGCCACGTGTTTAGTGAGGACCACCACCGTGGTCTCGTAGTGACCACGTGTTTAGTGAGGACCACCCCCATCGTCTCGTAGTGACCACGTGTTTAGTGAGGACCACTCCCATCTCTCGTAGTGACCACGTGATTAGTGAGGATCTCGTAGTGACCACGTGTTTAGTGAGGACCACCACCGCCTCGTAGTGACCACGTGTGTGCCTCTCCGCTCTTCTTTGTGACTTTGGTTTGCGACCCCTGACCCCGCCCCCACGTGGTTAAATCTGTCACCAAACGTCAACGTTCGGGCCCTTCCAGAACACCATTTGCGACTCACGCGAGTCGCTCGCGATCGCGAATGTGCCGCGTTGAACTCCGTACGCACCGCACGTAGCCGACCATGCCAATCGTAGGTGCCAGTCGGTCTTCTCCATGCGAGCAGTGTCCATCTCCCCCCCCCCCACCCCTCTGCCCCCTCCAGGACCCAAGACCCCTCTACGCAGAGCGCTGCCAGTTCTACACCAGCGGCGATGGCTACATTTACGAAAACTACTTCTCCGATGTGAGTCTTTGCCTTTGGGACCCAGTGCATCGTACTGTGCGTTGAACTTCTTTCGTACCGCACGCAGCCAATCGCGCTAATCGGAGGTGCCGAGGGAAGGACAACAAACTAAACACAGCAAGCAGCTCTTAAGAAATGAGTTCGCCAATGCAGATGATTTAAAAGTGCGCAGCTCCCCACGATTCCAAACATCGGAAGGAAGAGGGCGCTCCAGGAGGCAGCAGAAGCGCATCTGAAAGCGCCGCGCGACGCGGTGACCCCACCGCCGTCTTTGTTCGAGAAGGGGGGCGGACGATCTGCGATCGTGTGTGAGGACGGCGTGACGCTTCGCACGATTACTCTTTGGTTCTTTCGGTAAAGTCACGTATAAAGATAAAATAATAAATTAAATAATAGCATACGACGTTTCTATTGCAACACAAGCAATCATCATCAGGTATAAATGAAATAGCAACAAAAAATCTAACCATAAAACTATAGACAGACATATAAGCAGACAGATATCACCAAGATACATAGAGAGAGAGCAACACAGGCACAGAGAGGGAGATCGTCTCTGTGGCGAGGCCTTAAATAGACAGAGAGGGGGGGCGGGGGCAGAGAGAGGGAGGGGTTAGAGAAAAAAAAAATTACATGTCAATGAGTACGGCGACGCGTGGTAGTAAAGTACGCAAGCTGAACATTAGGAGAGAGGGAGAAAGAACACACTAAATTAAATAACCTAGCAAAATATCGAAATGTTATGTAATACAACACAGAGAGTCGGTCAACACACAATTAACGCATAGCCTGGTCGATGTCGTATTTTTTGTTGCTATTTCATTTATACCTGATGATGATTGCTTGTGTTGCAATCAAAACGTCGTATGCTATTATTTAATTTATTATTTTATCTTTATACGTGACTTTACCGAAAGAACCAAAGAGTAATTCCTGCAGTCACGAAAGCTCTAAAATTGAGCTTCGCACGATGTCATCGCCGGTTCGACCCTCCCGGCGCGGCAGTTTGACGGCAACGGCGCAAGTTCCTGAAACCCGGGGCGGTGCACAGGTAGCAGCGAATGCCCACGCCACAGTCGATGTCGGCAGGTCACGAGCGCTGGGCTGAAGCGTGGGTACTCTCCACCTCCGCGCCACAACGCGGGAGAGCGGTGCCGAACAAACTTGCCCCGCGATCACGTCGCTCTAGCCGCCGCCCGCCAGCGGGTGCAGTGAGCCGGCACCTGCAGGGCTGCGCCTTTACCCTCTTTTGTTTTCCGCGTGACAAAAACAAGCGCCCGCGTCCCATCCCTCGCCTCCGCGCTCCTCTCGTCCGCGTCTCACGCGTCTCACTCCATCGATCACCCCCCTTGGCGTGATTTCATTCCAGACGCCAACAGGGAAGCGACTTTTTGTAGTCGTCGTCGTTCCTAGAAATGTGCGAAATCTGCGTCCCTGGCTCGAGATCAGAGAGGAGTCGGCTTTCTGTAGAAAACCTTCTGCTGACAGCAACCCAGGGCGCCCAGGTGCGCTATAAGTTACCCTTGAGCTTCGGGCCAGCTTCTTGCGAGGTTTCGCCCCCACCCCCCCCCCCCCCCCCCCCCACAATGATTGACTCAATCTGCCCATCTGTATATATATTATTTTTACTGAGGTGGAGATCCGGTGAGGCTCATGCGGAATTGTTGAGCACAGTGTGAACAGGTTTTGACTCCTAGAGAATGTGACGTTTCAATATTGTCGATGGAGACCCACGTTGTAAAAGAAAAATTAACAAACCCGGCTCAATTTCAAAAACGCATAGGTGTCAGATCGTGTGCTATCATTTACAACACTCTAAAAGCTGATCATCTGACAATAATAATGATTTCGATTTAAAGCTTTCGTGACTGCAGGGATTCATTTTCTTGGTTCTTTCGGTAAAGTCACGTAGAAGGGAAATGATAAAATAATAAAAATAAAACATAATAAAATAATTCTCACCACGTTTCGGCCACAACGCAAGCAGCCGTCTTCAGGTGAAGAACAGGTCTGTCGGGAAGACAGCGTCTGAATGAAACACCACCTCGCTTCCAACCCAGCTTAAATATATGCTCCAAGCGTGGTGGTGTTTCATTCAGACGCTGTCTCCCCGACAGACCTGGTCTTCACCTGAGGACGGCTGCTTGCGTTGTGGCCGAAACGTCGTGAGAATTATTTTATTATGTTTTATTTTCATTATTTAATTATTTCCCTTCTACGTGACTTTACCGAAAGAACCAAGAAGAAGAATAATAATGATGACATTGAAACGCACCATATTTTAAGTCAATAGCCCAGAGGCGCGGAGCCAAGCTCAGGGCTGCTCGAAAGCCCTGACCCAGCACAGATAGAGGAGGGCTTTAGGTGTTTCTTGAAGGTCGGAGTGCATTTGATGTTGTGGATGTGCAAAGGGATTGGAGAGAGTTCCACGTCTAGAGGGTGACAGCAGAGAGCCCACGTGAGGCTGCGACACCTTCGTGTCCGAGGCAGATTTTATATATATACACACACGTAAAAATGTCTATACATATAGATATATATACATGTCTGTATATAGATAAATACATTCTAGATTTTAAGTTTTCATTGAGCAATCATTGGAAGGATTTTATGAACCAGGTAAAACCCTGACTGCTTTGTATTGGTTGTCGTCTATCATACAGAGGTCGCAAACTGGTTTTGATTCCTTACCCGTACCCGTACTCGGCCGCACCAGGGTCGCAAACGGGTACCCGTACTCGGCCGTACCCGTACCCTACCCGTACCCGGCCTTGTGCGGGTAGGGTACGGGTATCGGGTACCTGATTGCGACCTCTGGGATGAAGCCATGTTGCAGGCGCGGGTGGGTTGATTCTAGGAACTTGAATTGTGAGAAGAGACAAGACGTTGGGAAATGAGTGACAAACGGTTACTCACCAGTGACTCACGGCCTACCCGTACCCGGCCGCACCAGGGTCGCAAACGGCTACCCGTACCCGGCCGGGTACGGGTAGCCAGGTATCGGGTAGGGTACGGGTATCGGGTACCCGGTTGCGACCTCTGCTATCATATCCGCCGTGTACTACTTCACCACGCAGGCCTCCCCCTACCCCACACCCCCACCCCTCTCTCTCCCCCCTTGCTCCTCCACCTTTCTTACCTGTATCAACTCTTACCACGGCAACTCTCTCTCCCAATTCATCAAAAACAATTCTTGCTGTGGTTTTCCCACCTGATGATGATTGCTTGTGTTGCAATCGAATCGTCGTGATTGCATTTATTTTATTTTATACCTACGTGACTTTACCGAAGGAACCAAAGAGTATGTCTATATAAATTTCGATTTAAAGCTTTCGTGACTGCAGGGATTCATCTTCTTGGTTCTTTCGGTAAAGTCACGTGACTTTACCGAAAGAACCAAGAAGATATGTCTTTATAGATACATAGATATATATTTCTATATATTTTGGGTGGTGGCATTGCACGTGACCTGTAGTCCAGCACTGTGGAAGCAGCGAGGGTTGGCGGATCACCGCACAAAAGACAAAATGTTGTCGTGAGCCTCCCTTCCCGTGGGCATCGAGGTGCATATACCCCGGCTCGATAGGAGATGGCGGTACAGCGAAAGTGGCGCCTGATCTCACCTGTGTTTGCTTTACGGGATAGATGGTATCTCCCTCGCTTGCGTGGATTGTCTGCAGGAGCTCCGGTTTCCTTCAGACGTGCAGTATAAGCATCGACTCGTTGGCTGAAAACATCCCGATATGTCGAGAACTGCAGAGCAGTTGTTTGGCGTTGGCCGCCTGCCGGCTTGGCCTGGAGTTCCTTAGCGATTGTGAGATGCAATTTGCGTGAACGACGAACGGCACTCTCTCTCTCTCTACTGTATATATAAAACCACTCATTAGACAATGAGTCCGTGTTGGACTGCACCGCGTCACCGCTCCTCCTGATTTTGCGTCTCTGTCCAACGTCGGACCGCCCAGGTGCCGTGCCGAAGCAGTCACGGTGACTGCTCGCTCAAGATCCGCAGCGGCACCTGCTACTGCTGCGACCTCTACAACTGTGGCAGGCAAGGAAGTTCGCGACGCAGCCACTGACAGGAGGCACACACGAGTGTGAGATGAGAGAGAGGAGAGATGGAGGGGTGATGAGAGAGTTGTAGATGAGTTACAGGGGAGTGTGCTGAGAGATGAAGGAGAGAGAGATGAGAGAGTTGTGGAGGAGATGCACGTGAGTGAGATGAGAGAGATGAAGAGGAGAGAGACGAGAGAGTTGTCGACACGGGATGCAGATCGACACGACCCACGTCACGACCCACGTCACGACCCACGACACGACCCACGTCACGACGCACGTCACGACCCACGTCACGACCCACGTCACGACCCACGTCACGACCCACGTCACGACCCACGTCACGACCCACGTCACATCCCAGGACCACGAGGATCGCCGGTCGGCCGCTTCGACCTCGCGTCGCGTCGAAGTTGTTACTCGACCGGTGGTAGACAATTAAACCGCGTCGCTCCGTGCCCCTCGCTGCTACCGCTGCTGCCGCTGCTGCTGCTGCTGCTGCTACCGCTGCCGGCTGGCTGGCTGCCTGCCGCCTGGCTGGCCGGCCGCCGCTCGCGTCGCTGTGCAGCGGCGACTACGCGGCCGTCTACTACGAGTTCGTGGGCGTGAGGAGCTGCCTCGGAGCCGTGCACCTCTACCGCCTGCTCTGGCTCTCCACGCTGCTCAACGTGTGCGCCGTCTTCCTGGGCATCGTCACCTCCGCCGTCTTGGGGAGCTTCAAGGACACGGTGAGCGAGCGAACGAGCGAGCCGAGAAGAGGAAGCGATTGGCGTGAAGAGGCAACGTACCCCCCCCCCCACGCCCCCCATCCACAAAACGATTGTGCACTTTGAAATGTGAATTGCCATCAGAGTCTGGAGTGCAGTCTCCAACTCTTATTCTCTCCGTTTCTCTGGCCAAGTGGAAGGGCCGCTGCCCAAAGCATCACCTACTTTATATATTTATATAAATAAGAAAATATAATATATAATTATATATAATATTTTATCATTTCTATAATATATAATGTATATAGAAAATATATCATCCTTTTAGGGCAGTGTTCATGACGAATGTGAGTTTTTGTTGCCAACGCGGCGTTTTGCAATTAATTTTGTTCAAACAATGAGGGATATGTAGCAGGGGGCTTGGGGAGATTGTGTTGGGCTTGGACTGGCTGCGTTATGTCCCGGTGCCATGAACACTGGGAAGCATGGGGTATCACGGTGGCTTGGAGATGTTAACTACCTCGCCCGGTATGCAGGAGGTCGTGGGTTACATCCCGATTAGCAGATATTAAAGACTTCGAGACGACATTTGCAAGAGGAGGTCAATTGTGTGCCGGCTTCAGGGCCCACATTGACCAAAATCTAAACTTATACCGCAAATTACTCGATTTGGATTATCGCCCCCTACCGATGGCTCCAGAGGAGGAGGAGGCAGTGGTGGAGGAGTAGGACGGAGGGGTAGGAGGAGGAGGTGGTGGTGGAGGAGGAGGAGGGAGGGGTAGGAGGAGGAGGTGGTGGTGGAGGAGGAGGAGGAGGAGGGAGGGGTAGGAGGAGGAGGAGAGAGGGGTAGGAGGAGGAGGTGGTGGTGGAGGTGGTGGTGGAGGAAGTGGCCGCATTTGCCGTGCGCCGTCCTGCTGCTGTTTGGGGCAGGGGTCAAACCCGAGAAGTGATTTGCGCTTGGCAGTGGTGAAGGATGAAGCAACGATGCAGCACCACCACCGCCACCACCGCCACTGCCACCGCCACCACCACCACCACCACCGCCACCGCCGCCACCACCACCACCGCCGCCACCACCGTCACCACCGCCACCACCACCACCACCGCCACCACCACCACCACCACACCATGGGGCGATGATTTGCTACGCCGACAAAGGCCTCCCGCTAGCCCTGCCGGTCATGGGGGCTGTTTGTCCAAACTCTGCCACCTTGGTTTGCGAAGGGAATGTTGCTGCTGTAGAAGCTGCTGTTGCTAATACTGCTGCTGTTGCTGCTGCTGCTGTTGCTACTGCTGCTGCTGTTGCTGCTGCTGCTGTTGCTACTGCTGCTGCTGTTGCTGCTGCTGCTGTTCTTGCCGCTGCTGTTGCCGCTGCTGTGCGCGTGTTCAGGCACAGACGCTGCCGCGAGTCGAGTACGTTCCAAGCTCGCTCGCCCAAATCTCCTACAGCCCGAGCATGCAGTCGCTCTCCTACAGCCCGTGCTATCCCGGCCTGGCACCGTATCCATACGCGGCACAGGTGAGAAGAATAATAAAATAATAATGATGATGATGATGATTTCAACTCGGACCGCGCCACTGTGCAGCGTTCTCTCGCTGAGAGAGAGAGAACGAGCCACTCAGACACGCGAGGGACCATGCAGTTGGCACCCAGGCAGCGAGGCAGCACCCCTCAAAGCTCTGCGGTCCTCTATATACACAAACCCTTCTCCGTTCAGAGACGTCTGCATGTTGCAGGGTGGGTGGTGTCCCGTTCACCGCTGAATCTCGGAACGTGCTAGCGGCTCGGGGTTCATTTAACTTAGAGAGGCGTAGCGCTGTTGTTTTTAAATGTACTCGCCGCAGAGAAAAAAAAAAAAATGTACCTACGTGACTTTACCGAAAAAACCAAAGAGGATGAATCCTTGCAGTCACGAAAACTTCAAATCGAGAATCACCGCAAGGAAATGTAGCGACACGACCGCACTCTGTGATAGCGCCGCAAACTGTGCCACACGGCCTTCCGCATGGCCATGTGGGAGCCCCGGGTAGTTTTGATCCCGTTCCGATGACGTACGTGTACGTCACTGGAACGGCAAAGGGTTAAGGTGTTATGAGCGAGTTAATGAGGGTGTTTATATGTTTGGGAAGAAAATGGAGCACCAGGAGATGCGAGGGGGTAACGCTCTATCCCGCACGGACGGAACCGGGCCAAGTCCACATTTGCTGTACTGCCTTCTCCTGGCAAGCCACAGTATCGCATCTCAACGCCCTCCGGAAGGGAGTTTCACAACACTTTCACGATGCACCAACCCTCGCTGCCTTCACGCTGCTTGGCTCACACAGGCCACATGCATAGCAACCACCGCCCGGCAAAGAAACACAACAACAACAACAACTATACACCTCAATAATTTACTCTCGAATAAATGGCATCACCGTCGCCATCATCGTAGTATGTAAACAAATTCGGACTGTAACGCAGATCACAAGTAAATTCTCCACCTCTCTCTCCTAAGTGGAGAACGCTGATAAAGTGCCGCAGTTTTGCGCTTTCATCCACGCTGGGACCACGGCGACAGTGGTGGTGATGGTGGTGGTGATGATGGAGCATCATACGGCTCCGTGTATACGTCAAAACCCACGTAACCTTTACCGCAAAATAAGCCGGGTGCGTCCTAACCCCATAATCACATTGAAAGTTAAACCTCCGGTGGGTATTAATAGGTTGGCTTTGGGAGTGCGGCTGTGTGTGTGTGGGAGGGGGAGGATTGTCCAACTTGTGGAACTTGCCCCCGTAGCCAAATGCCTCCGCTAATGAGAGAGAGGGAGGGAGGGGGACTGCCTCTACAACTGCGGATCGCCTTTCTCTAAACCGGTTCGCGTATTCGGCGTCCGCGTTCGGTGTCCCGCGTCTCTCGAGAGAAACGGCCGCCGAAGTCATCTCGCGACCACAGATGAGCTCACGGGGCTATGTATGGGGGGGGGGGGAGAGGCGTTCGTCTTTAAAAGCCTCTCGCTCTGTAACGCACGGCTTTGCTCGTCGGCTGGGTCGGTTTTCGTGGTCGCGCGAGCTGCGCTTACGTAGCCGACCGTGCAAATCGGCCAGGCCGCTTCTGAAAAAGGAGCCTTATGGCTCAGGAGGGCCTATACCTGGTAATATATATTTTAAAAAATTGTTTACGAACGAAAACAAATCAACGCAGCGAAGCAAAATGCCACAGCGCGAGCGAACACATTGTCCTGCGGATGGAGCTGGTAGGAACGTTGGGTTGCTCGGTCAATGGCCTGCAGGGTCAACGGCGGCGTGGTGTATTCCGCAAATATGCCCGACTGTGAGGGCGGGCACAAGCCGGCGTGAGTAGGTTAAACGTTGAGTTTTATAAGGGCACCACGGGGTGACCAGCCCCTCCCCACTCAGCCCCACCCTCCACCCAGCCCCACCCTCCCCACCCAGCCCCTCCCCACACTCCCCTCCCCACCCAGCCCCTCCCCACCCTCCCCACCAAGCCCCTCCCCACCCTCCCCACCCGGCCCCTCCCCTCTCTACCCAGCCCCACCCCTCCCATTTTTGGATGCACGACGGACGGACGGACACAATAATCCCCTGTGGGCTGGTGGCACCAGGTGGTTCCTACCAGTATAAACATTTTTTTTACTTGAGTGCCCAACGTTGGGACCCCGACAAACCCACCGTTCTGTGTATTCCCCGCACCCCTTCGCCCGCTGCGTCTCAACCCCGTCAGTGCCGAGACACGGCGCTGGACTACTACGCCGCCGGGGGAACCAGCGGAGCGGCGCTGGCGATCGGCGGCCTCCCGCGGGGGGACGCGGGCGGGCAGCTCTACCCGGGCGCCAGCGCGCTCTACCCTCCGCCGCGACCCAGCGCGCCGCCTCTGCACGCGTCCCACGCGCGCGCCCCTTCGTTCGAGAAACCCGTGTCCTACGCACCGTAGCGGCGGCTCTCGCGAGGACGAAGCGCGCACCCGGATCGTTTGAACGCCCACCCGCACCCGCCCGCCCGCGTATTTGTACCCGAATTTCTGCCGTCGGTCGTGGAGACTGTTTTTCGCCGCTCGGCCGCTCGGCGTTTTGGCGCCGGCGCTCGACAGCTGTGGGTTTTAATGAACGATAAATGTAGAAATGGAAGAGCGCTGTCTGTTTTGCACGCACGTGCGTTGAGTGTAACGAGGGCAACGATGACTCTGATAAAGACTGAACCATTACAAACGAAACTTTGGCGTGAAATCGTGTTGCTATTGATGGATTGTGAAGCGAATGTGGGCCGCGCGCGGGGACTGGGAATGCTTCGAGAATGATGGAACGACAGTCCGTGGACAAGACTTGGGGATGGGAATGGCTGTCCAAAGGAGAGAAGATGCCAAAGAGGGGGGGGGGGGCGGTCGCCCCACGGATGGAGCGAGGCCGTGGCATCGCAAGAGCCAGAGGTGACGACGACGGCCACGTGAGTTTGGCCTTCATCCAGCAGTGGACTGACCATGCCGCTACGTTTAGCTAATGGGGGCTAAATCGTACTGCAAACGAGCCGGTGGCAACAAACGAATTGATCGACGAATCGTATCGTGGCTTCGAGTCTTGGCCATTAATCGGATCCCCGGTTTTTGTTTGGGGGGAGGGTAAGCATGACGTGTCCGATGACCTCGTCTTCGTGGTTAGTAGCTGCACACTGCACGGAAGTTCACAGTGGGATTCCCATTGCAAGTCCTCTGGGCGAGAATTTTTCTCAATTTTCCTGAAAAGTCACCGATTCGATTTTTTTCCCTTTTAAAACCACAGGTTTCGTTTTGTTCGTTTCTCAATCCGCTTGTCCTGGTGAGGGTCGCGACGGCCGCGTGTTGAGTCGTGGCGGTCCCACACCTCCCTTTCCCTGGCGACAGACATCAGCTCTACATTGCCTACACTACACTATATACTACACTATACACTACACTATACACTACTACACGATTATACACTACTACACTATACACTACTACACTACACTATACACTACTACACGATTATACACTACTACACTATACACTACACTATACACTACACTATACACAGACTCTAGCTCTACATTACTATACACTACACTATACACTAGTACATTATAAACTACTACACTATACACTACTACACTTTACACGACTACACTACTATACACTACTACACTATACACTACTACACTATACACTACTATATACTACTACACTATACACTAGTACATTATACACTACTACACTATACACTACTACACTATACACTACTACACTATACACTACACTGCTACACTACTATACACTACTACAGTGTACACTACTACACTATACACTACTACACTATACACACTACACTACTATACACTACTGCACTATACAATACACTACTGCACTATACACTATACACTACTACACTATACACACTACACTACTATACACTACTGCACTATACAATACACTACTGCACTATACACTACTACACTATACACTACTACACTATACACACTACACTACTATACACTACTGCACTATACAATACACTACTGCACTATACACTACTACACTATACACTACTGCACTATACACTACTACACTACTACAGTATACACTACACTATACACTACTACACTATACACTACTACAGTATACACACTACACTACTATACACTACTGCACTATACAATACACTACTGCACTATACACTACTACACTATACACTACTGCACTATACACTACTGCACTATACACTACTACACTATACACTACTGCACTATACACACTACACTATACACTACTACACTATACACTACACAATACAATATACACTATACACTACACTATAGACTACTACACACAGATTCTAGCTCTTCCTGGGTAATCACCAGGCGTGTCCAGGCCAATCGAGCGACATCGTCCCACTGCCACCAGCAGCAGCAGCAGCGTGGTCCTGGGCCGGCCCCGGGGTCTTCGCCAGAGGTCGCAAATGGGTTTTGATTCCTTACCCGTTCCTTACCCGTACCCGGCCGGGTACGGGTACCCGTACCCTACCCGAAATGAGTGACAAACGGTTACTCACCAGAGACTCACGTCCTACCCGTACCAGTACCCGGCCGCACCAGGGTCGCAAACGGCTACCCGTACCCGTACCTGGTCGGGTACAGGTAGCCGGGTATCGGATAGGCTACGGGTATCGGTTACCCGGTTGCGACCTCTGGTCTTCGCCCAGTGGGACAGTTGCTGCTGCTGCTGCTGCCCGGTAGAGTCCCAGGAGGAGTCTACCGGGGGGGGGAGGGGGAGCATCCTTACCGAGTGCCCGAGCCACCTCACCTGGCAACTGGCCACAGTTGTATTGACCATGGGTGGAAAAAAACCCGATTTTCCCAGCGGACAGGCATCGGGTTTTTTCTTAATACAATTAAACCCGATTTCGGGGAATTAAAACCTGGTTTAATGAATACGAAACTCTGATCCAAGGCTTAGGCTGCTTCCTCGTCGGTGCTGCTATCGTACTCGGGGGGGCCGTCGGGCACGGGGTAGTCGTAGAATGCGGCGGGCAGGTTGGTCTTGATGAACACGTGGAGCTTCTCCTCCACAATCGTGGGCGCCAGTGAGTTCCTTCGCTTGGAATGGATGAAGCCCATCGTTGAGAAGTTGGCGAAGTGCGGTTCTGCAATTAGAAACAATTAAACCGGATTTCTCCCAATCACAGATGATCGGGTTTAATATTAAAAGACAATTAAACCCGATTGTAAAAAAAATAACCCGACTGTGCCACCGTTGGTATTGACCATTCTTAATTTGTGTTGTATTTCTCGAGGGAATCAACCCAAGTCCGCCACCTGCTGTACAAGGTGGGAACTTCGTGGACAGGACGGCGCATCTTCTTGGTTCTTTCGGTAAAGTCACGTAGAAGGGAAATAATAAAATAATACAAATCAAACATAATAAAATAATTCTCACGACTTTTCGGCCACAACGCAAGCAGCCGTCCTCAGATGAAGAACAGGTCTGTCGGAAAGACAGCGTCTGAATGATTCACGAAAGCTTTAAATCGAAAAAGGACGGCGCAGTTAAACTTAAAACGTGCGGGTTTTTCGGAGCGGACGCAAAACAATGATGCAACTTGTGTTTTTGGGTTCGGACACATCGTATAAACGTTCTGGCCCACATGCGTGTCATTGACCCTCCACCACCCGACAAGGTCGTCTCGTTTACAAAGCTATCATTCGCTCGTGCCGACGTAATCACACGTGCCGACCGTCGTCACGTGGCATACAATCCGTGGATCTACTTTTTTAACTAATAATCTCCTTACCGTTGGGCTCACACTTTCGGCGACAGAAATCAGCATCGGCATGGGACGACGTTTCGCTCAAACTGCTCTTGAGTTTCATCGGGTCCGTCAACTCGAGAAGCTCACCGTTCCCCGAAGTCGGGTGGTGGAGGGTTAACGACAATAATGTTGGCGTAAAGCCACGTGGCCTCACCCAAAAAAACCGAGTGTGGATCAGTAGAGCACAGTCCCCACTTCCATCTTGCTCATTCCCTCCCCTATGTTTTGTTCGTTGTCCTTCCCCCGTACACACTCCGATTAGCACGGTTGGCTACGTACGGTGCGAAAGAAGTTCTACAATACATACCTGTGCGGTGCTGCGGTGTTTTCCGCGGCGGGGAAACAGCAGTGACCTACGCTCCGCTGTAGGAGTCATACCGTAGGAGTCATACCGTGATACCGGGGACTTGTGCAATTAAAGCTCAGACATTGCACATACGCAACAATGTACATACATCGTGGTCTGGCCATTCCTAACTCTTAGGTTTTTTTCGGAAAAGTCACGTAGGTAAAAAATAATAATACAATTTAATAATATTAAAAAAATAGAAATAATAATAGAAATAAAATAATATTTTACCTACGTGACTTTTCCGAAGAAAAAAAACCTAAATCCTTGCAGTCACGAAAGCTTCAAATCTAAAATCATTCCTAACTCCTCCTCTTGCCTGCCGGCTTGTGCCCGCCCTCAGTCGGGCGAAGAGGGGGGTCAAAAATCGTCCAAAATCGCGTGACGTCATTTATGGACGGCCCCTAACCGGTCTTTTTGAAAGAAGACACAAAACAATGTGTAAAGAGTGCATACGTACGTTGGTGCCTCTGTAAATAAAACACCCATCGGCGTTTCCAAAGGCGGTGCATTGTGGTCCTCTCGTCTTAGATCGCTATCAAAATCAAATTTGAACAGCAGCAACAGTCGACTTTGTCTGGCTGAATGATTGGAGAGCGATTATAATTTACATTTGAGGTGGTGGAGCCGGATAATTGTGTAACGTGAGTTGCGAAGTGATGCAGCGAAATACAAGTGGGCCTTGCCTCATCAGCGCATCATCACCAACGAAAATGACGCAAGTGACCTTCCCAAAACCAATCAATGTTATTTTCTCTCCACGTAAACATTTAATGTGGTTTCGTTCCTTAGCCTATGGCTCTTCGGACTAGAATTACATAGGATTTAACTCACTGGGCCGCTTTCAACATCGCGAACGACTGCTGCCATCTCTGTGTGATGTATGTACGTTGAGTTTCTTTCGCACCGTACGTAGTCAACCGTGCTAATTGGAGGTGCTGGTGTATGTTGAACTTTTTTTGCACCGTACGTAGCCAAACGTGATAATCAGAGGTGCTAGCTGCATTAGAAGTGTGGTGAATCACCGTCACACTCGGCAACACGTTTGCAGTGATATTATAAACTCACAAAAAATATAGCAAAACGTGCATAAAGAAACTTTATTACTCAAAAACACACAATACACTTTGAAAAGAAACACTGTCGCCAATTTTGTGCAATTAGTAATTAATTGCCTTATTCAGGGTAAAACAAGTTAATTTTCATTACTTTTCCTTCAACTGGCTGAACAGTTAAGGCTTACAAGCAAACACTGGTGTTGCATCTCTGCATATCACATTGCTACAAAGCGGAAAATAACATGCAAACTAAAAATGACACGTGTAAATACTTTTTTATACCAATAATAAAAAAAACCTATATATTTGATTAACTAACTGGCCTGGAAGACATTCGCAGGCTTGCACACACACACGTATCTCGTCTGCCGCTTACATATTAATGAATGGCTGGACACCGACCAGCCCCAACTCAACATCTGTGTTAAAGAGCTTCATAGCTCTTCAGATTCCTCCTGCAGTC